GGTCGTATATTTCGCTGCCATACAGAACACTCAAGCCCACAGCAGGCAGGTGAGTCGAAAGTCTTTGGTAACTTGGCTGACTGAGAAAACAAGATGCCAAAAAATATGCGATTTGTGATAAATTGACTTCAAATGTTGACTGTTGATGTGCAGTAATTAAGTTAACTGCTTGTTTTGACCCAAAAGAGTGTTTTACATGTGCAGACTGTGCAGTTATGTTAAACTGTAGTTATTTTTCTTTTTCCTAAGCTGTCAGTGTTTTATATATTAGCAGCCTTGAATGTAATGTTCGTTTTCCAGCCTCTCTCCTCATATTTTGATCACATACAGGTAGATAACAAAAGGCCTGAAAAAGTAGCCAATCAGCCTTGGCCATGGCAATGGCAGACACACTATTCTGTTGATTATAAACCATTGCAATGTAATATTTTTTTCAATTTAAAGCTCAAATGACTACATAATCACTTGACCGTTTCCAATGAGATAATAATAAGCCTTGTAACCTTGTGGTTTTGTTGATTGCCAAATGACTTGAACATCACAGCAGGTATCGTTTACACACACGCACACGCAAACAAACAAACAAACACACACGTGCCTTTATTGAATGCCTATTAAATGCCTATTGAGGATTTCCTATTTACATTCAAGCGGATAAGCGGTAGAAGATGGATGGATGGATGGACATTCAAATGTGATTATTGACTGTACTGATAGATTTGCATAAAGCATCTGCGTAAGGCAATGCTTTCTTAGCCACTTATCCTATAAGGCTCATATCTGCTACAGTGATTTTTTTTTTCCCACTGAACAAATGTATTAAACCATCACCCGGTATGAGAATGAAACTCAGTCAATAACACGCCATGGAAAGAAGGAAATACATTCGCCAATGACGCCACTTTCACCTATTAACAGGAGAATGGGCGGGAAATGCTTAAGGTAAGAAAGGCAAAAAGATCCATACCAGAAACTGACCAGGAAGTCAGTCATTTTGATTTGATGTAGCACTTTTTGGACATATTCCATGCTCATATTTTTGAGAAATTCCCACAAAGAATTTGCCCAAATGAGCCCCAATTGGAAGAAGGAATCCGAAAAAGATCGGCAATGACAAATCATGAAGCTTTTTTATCATGTTACCTAATGTTAGCAGAGCACGATGTCAAAAGATTGTTGCTGGTTTTTAGTGCCGGAGTTTAACCCTTTCACAGACAGTGGTTACGACAGTGGACAGCTTATCATGTTATCAGGTAGTAGCAGGGGTAGGGAACTGCGATTCCTCGAGAGCCATATCCTGCCCATTTTAGATCCCTCCCTACTCCAACGCACCTGATTCAAACGATCAGCTCATCAGCAAGCTCCGCAGAAGCCTGAAACTATCAGGATCAATCGAATCAGGTGTGTTGGATTAGGGAGAGCTCTGAAACAGGCAGGATACGGCTCTCTCTCGAGGTACCCGAGTTCCCTACCCCTGGATTACAGGTGATCATTATTGGTGCATGAAAGGGTTAAAAATATACAAACATAATTCCTTGCCCTGACACCAATGTCACTAATAAGCAGGACAGTGGGTGAACATGTTATTCATAGCACGATGCACAAAAATAGTTTTAAGGACCACTGCACTGAAATCGACAGGACATCAGACATCCTTTTGGTTTGAAACAGTCATTTCGGGCAAATTCCATGGCTTGGACCTTGGAAAACTCCTACTCAAAAATTCTGGGCAGTAGTAAACTGTGAAGCTTTTTTTGCATGCGCCAATTAATGTTGATTGAGCATGGTACGAAATATTGACGCTTGATCCATTTCATTGATCCAAGAAAAATGGTGCAAATGTCTACCATAATCGGACGTATGAAAAATTCTCAATTAGAAGCTGGTAGCTTAGAAATGGTCTTACTGTTGCTAGGAACCGATGATTCAAGATTCTGTTCTTACAGAACCAGAAACCATTGATAAAAGAATTTGCTTGTATATTGCTGTTTAAAAACGCCATGCAGCAACTACAAGGTCAAGCAGATACATTGTTCCTGTTTCCGCATGAGTAAGAGCCTTGTGGATCTATCCTGTGAACATGGTGAGATAATAAATAATACTCCTAAACAACAACTGCTGACTGTGAGAGCGCGCTCTTGCCTGCCGATGAATTTTAAAAATAAGACTCCAATCAGTTGCTGTCAAATTTGTCCCGTTGGCTCTTCCAATTTGCTGTGACAGACTGTGAAATGTCTTTTTAAAAGAACCTCAGAAGGGCTTATCTCCAACTGGGGGTAAACAAAAAAAAAAAAATAAAGACGATCAGATTTAGAAGCCCCTCCAAGCGTCGACTTTGTTCCGACATGGGCGAAGGATGAAAGCTAATTGACAAGCTAACATGGGTACGAGGTTCAGCTTGTCCCATTCGTCTTGAATGAAATGTCGCCCCAGGCCGACAACAGACATCCGTGACTATTTCGTTGCTGTCAGTATTTGTTGAGATCTCACAAAATTTGAATATACAGCATTTTACGCAGAACCCAGTGAAGGCGAGATTTTGCAGTGACAACATATACTGTAGTTATAAACACGGAAAGTCCTTGTCGTGCAGTTGCGGGAGAATTGAGTGTCAAACTAAGACTCCACATTTCACACTTTTCAAAGAGACTATTTTACGTGCTTGGAGGCATTTATTTTTGTCATAAAGGACGAATGCTTTAACCTTCCGTCCTCAATATTTCTAAACTCAAGCAAGTTATTTCAACATTATGAGCCATTCTTATTTTCCTGATTGGGGATCAGTGATGCATTTATTTGGCAGCGGCGTGTATTTTCCTTGTGTGAAACTGAATGGGTTTTGATTTTGTTTTTTTTTTTTTACATGGATCCTATGATACCAAAGCTAGTGAACCGAACCTGTTTCACAACTTGAAAAGATTGTGTTCCAGATTTCAAAATGTTAAGGGTATGTAGAGGTTTACAGTTTTTGAGGGAGGCAATTATATTTCTGTGTTGACTAACTGGGGAGACAGATTTTAACCTTCTTCCAAATCCTCATAGTATCATAGCTCTTGAAAGCCAACATGCATTATTATCTGTTACTAATGGGGAACTGGAAGAAATTCATTTGAGAGTGGCATTTATTTTTCTTAAGTGGATAATTAAATGGATATGAAAAAAATAGCTGAGTTATGAAAAAGCTTTTGAGACCTATTTAGAAAAGAGACACTCCAATTTTCAAGGGATGGTTTTACATTATTTGGTGGTAGGTGTCTACAGCATTCAAGGGAAGTGTTTATTTTCCTCACAAATTGGGTGTAGAAAATTAACCTATCTCTTAATTTCCCTTCAGTGATGATGTTTACTGCATCTGATTCTGAACCTCCAGATACTCATGAGAATGTCACAGCTACAGCAAGCTTTGGTTTATGACAATGTTTGCCTGCGTGTGATACAGTTTTCTTGCTAGTTGCAAGTAACTGTCCCGTTGATCACCGATGTCTGGTAATTCTTGTGCATACTGATGGATTTGTTGCCATTTGCATTGCTTCCTCGCTGGATGGTGGCTTGTCATCAGGAGTTGAATCGATGCCTTGTTTTTTAAAGCTTCGTGGATTTGCGTCTTTCCGACTCCAAGTGTCTGCTGGATGCTTTTAACTTTGTGTCCAGCCTCGCTCAAACGGATGCATTTCACTCACTCCGCTCCAGTCATTACAGTTCTTCTACGTTTCGATGCCATGATCTACATAACGTAAGTGAATAAACTTAAAATCTTTCGCAATTGCAGTCAAACGCACGCCAATAAAAAGTCACTTACACGTCTTCGTTTCGAATCTGATGAATGAAAACGGCGAAGCGAACACGTTTCTTCGGTCATGTCGAGTCGGTGCTGCTTTTAAGCTAGTGCTGCGCTCTACAGGACATTAAGTGAATAAAGTTAAAATCATTCACAATTATAGTAAAACGCACGCCGATAAAAACTCACTTAAACGCCGTCGTTTCGAATCTGATGATCGAAAAACGCGAAGTGAAAATGTGTCTCAGCGTCGTCGTTCCGTAGCATCGGGTGGGCGTTGCGTGCATTTAAGCTCCCGCGGCATGACGTCTCAATCCGGGTTACGGGTAGTGGAATTTCCGCTTACGTAAGTTCCGGTAAGATGTAATATCGTAGTCAAAATGTTAATGCACAGGTTTTTGTTCCGGGTGAAGGAAATTCCTTTTCATAGAATTCCGGGGATGGGAATATTTACTGTATTTATTTTTGGGATCAGCTTCATAGTACATTCTCAGTCGTAACTGACCTGCATAAACTATTATAACTACAGATTCAGATATTAAAGTCACTCCTTTTTATTTATTGGCTCAAATTACTACATTTTTTACCTTCGGGAGGCGGTTATGTATCGGCTCTAATTCCAACAAAGTCCCCCTGATGATGAATAACTAGTTTCAAAATCAGAAGTCAAGAATAATGACTGTTATTGTGGATTACATATGACAGTTTGAAATTTTGGTTCTGACTTTAGCAAGCATCATAGAACTTGACATGCTTGATTTGCTTTCGCGGGCCACATAAAATGATGTGGTGGCCCAGATCTTGCCCCTGGGCCTTGACTTTGACACCATGGTGTACAGTATATTTTTTCAGACAGTTAACATTGCTTGTAAACAATTGTGCGTATTTAGGGAAGGTTTATTTTTTTGACGCCGGTTTTGTCATTAACTCTTGATATTTGATCAGTAGCTTCTATGAGCTGAGATAACTGTCGTTATCTGTTTTTATTTTTCTCATTGAAAGAAAGGGGGGGGGCGTCTATTGGAGATAGAGTTAATTTGTTGACACTCGCAATTAACTCATACCACAAATTCAATTTTCCGTGAATTCGACACATACACACTGAGCAGCATGATCTGCAGCACCGGGAACCCTTTTCTGCCTGCCTCTCCTGCAAGAAGCCCCTACGCCCCCACCCAACCTCTTTGGCGCCTCCTCCCCCTCTCAGTCGCCTTCTAGCGAGCGCCTCGGCTGCTGCTATCAGCCAGCAGGTTGTTGTTCCAGCTGACGTGTTGTTTCCCCATCTCAAGAGTCACGCCGAATTGCTCGCGACTTTTTGTGGGTGGGACGAACGACGACGACGACAGTGAAGATGGTGATGATCGGTGGATGGTCAAATGGCGTGGCGCAAGTTTACGTTCTTCTCGTGGTGGCCCGTGCCGTGTCCGGTCAGTTCAACTTTTCACTTGCTTTTACTGATATCTCGTCATGTTACTGTGTGGGCTCCTTACTACAGTGACCTCGATTGCTTTTCAAGTTGGAGCGAAACATTTTGAGCTAATTAAGTTGATTTCCACGTCCACTGATCAAATGACTAAGGTGCAACTTAGACCTCCAATTGCTTTTAAGTACACTGAAATTGTAATCGTGATCGAGACCACCAATGGTTTTGAAAATACTCCCTTTCTAAGCCTTTAGAAAATCCAGCAAATGGATTGTGATGTGTGATGACTGTCTGGATTAAAATGATTTCCAGATAGCACAAGGGTATGACCGAATGAGTTGCCTTCGAAAAATCTATTGCTTTGAATAGTGCCCTGCCAATTAAATCCAACCTTTCGATGCCACTCCAATCGATTTTGAGCACGCAGCACTGTTATTTCAAGGCCACTCAATCACATTAACTACCAATGAATCCAAAATCCCCAGATTGGTTTTAAATACTCTACATTTGTAACACGATGGAAAGACGTCAAATGGTTTTGAAAACTGTCTTTTTAATTCCAGAAGACCTCTCAATTATTATTTTTTAAATATCCATGCACCCATTATCCGAGCCGCTTATTCTCTCGAGGGTCGCGGGTGTGCTGGAGCTTAACCCAGCTGTCTTCAGGCAGTAGGCGTGATACACCCTGAAGTGTTTGCCAGCCAATCAGAGCTCACAATTACACATAGAGTCAATTTAGAGTGTTCCATTAACCTGCCATGGATGTTTTTGAAATGTGGGAGGGGAGTACCCTGAGAAAAGCCACGGGAAAGGGGAGAACACAGGAAGACCGGAACCCGGAATCGAACTCTGCATCTCTGCACTGTGAGGCGGACATGTTAACCAGTTGATCACTTAACCGTCCAATTTTTTTAATAGTGTACCTAATTTTTCTCAACTCAAGACGACCGCATCCATTGAGATACACGAGGAGGAAAATGCTCCCTTGATCCTGTGCTTCCATTGGTTTAAAAAACAAAAAAAAAAGAGATTCCATCACCTTGCAAGACCTCTAATGGTTTTGAATGTGTCACACTTCTGATGTCACTCAATTAGACATGTAATTGTTTTCAGAAATGTTGTGATTTTGAGACTATAACTGAATCCATTCCCAATCCTGAATTTTTGTGCTCATGCTAAAGCAATAAAAGTAGTGCCTTGCCGCCATCTTGTGGCATCTCGGTGCCAAGGCATTACAGTGATCCCTCGCTACTTCGCGGTTCACTTTTCGCGGTTTCAGTGCATCGCAGATTTTTCAGAAGCATTCATCAAAAAACAAACAAAATGGCGAAAATGCCGCAGAAGGTCCGCGAGAGGGAGCGAAAGTCAGGATATATATATATATATATATATATATATATATATATATATATACACAGTCAAACCTCGGTTTTCGAATGTCTCTGTTCTCGACCAAATCGGTTTTTCGACCAAAAATTTCGAGTTTTTTATCCCTCAGATTACGACCGAAAATCGGTTCTCGACTAAACTGAGCGCACTTGAATGCGCTACTCGACTCCTTTCGCCTTCCTTACACGAGGAAGTGACGCTTCCTCGGGTAGACGAGGAAGTGATGCTTCCTCGGGTAGCGTTCCATTGTGACCAGACGTGTTAAAAAAAAGAGCATCCAATGTGAGCGGACGTGTTCAATAAAGATTTTTTTTTTTTAAAAACATCGTGTTTGTTGACATCTACGCAAGTCGGACTGTTATTTCTGCATTGTGTATCAGCTCCTAATCATGGCACTAAAGAAAGCAAGTGGTAGTAGTAAAGATGGTGAAAAAAAGAGGAAAATAGTACGCAAAACTATTGAATTTGAGAAAGATTTGATCGCGAAATATTAATCAGGTGTAGTGTGTCGGTGTTGACTAAGGAGTTCAGCATGCCGAAATCGACAATCAGCAGCATCCTAAAAAAGAAAGACCATCTTAAAGTCACTGATGTGGCCAAAGGATCTCGTGTGTTTAGCAAACAAAGGCCACAAATATTACAGGAAGTGGAGAAACTTTTGCTTATTTTCATAAATGAGAAACAGCTAGCAGGGGACAATCTTAGCCAAGATACGATTTGTGGCAAAGCAAGACAATTGTATGGAGATTTGATAAAAAAAGGATCCTAGCATTGCTCCTGAAGAATTTGATTTTAAAGCAAGCAAAGGATGGTTTGAAAAGTTTTGGAAAAGAAGTGGAATACACTCAGTGATTCGTCATGGGGAGGCAGCCAGTTCAGACAAGGAAGCTGATTGACATTGATTATAATGGGAAACATGGTTTCAGTTTTTGAACAAATCGGTTTTCAAACAGCCTTCTGGAACGGATTATGGTCGAAAACCGAGGTATGACTGTATTAGTATATTGCATTAAGTAATGTTAATTATGACAAATATTTACTTCTACATGCATGTATACCATTAAATTTGGCCTTATAAATATTCTATATACTCATACACATGTACATATTCCTGTACAGGGAGGGGTACCGACGTCGCGGATTTTCCTCTTTCGCGGGTGGTCTCGGTCCCCCATTAACCACGATAAGTGAGGGATCACGGTATGTTGAAGTGGCTCGATGAGCTTCATTTAATCCCGGCATGTTGGTGCCAAGGTACCGTGGTGAAGTGAGATGAGGCGCTTCATTTGGACAAGAATGGTGTCTTTCAACACATTTTTTGAAAAAAGTAACTTATTTTCCCGAAATTCCCGACAGTCAACCCGCCGCTGACCGTAAGAAAACCAATACGGATAGAAAAAGGTTTGCTGCCGCCATCGGGCGGTGGGTTCCTGAAGTGCCCTCATGTCTGAAATCTTGGCGAATTCTACACCTTCCCCTCGAAATTTGACTGCAGATTTTCATTATTAGCTGGAGAACACTTATTGCACTTTTACAAGAGGATGGTACACTAGCATTTGTGTTCCAGAAATCGTCAACCTTTGCTGGCCCTTGCATGCAGACAAAGATGCCTTTTATGCTTTTATAATATAGCCGGAAAAAAGAGGATATGTACAGTAGTTTTGCATATCTATCCTGCAGAGAAAATCCATCTTTGAAATCCCAGTACCGCAAAATCAGCAGGACGCCGTAAAGATTTCCTCCCTTGCTCATCTTTAGTGTAATTTGTCTGCCGCTGTTACGGCTGCTTCAAGTCGGAAAAAAAGCATGAGAAAAGAACATGAAGATGAATAGTGAGGTGTTGATGAGCGTGTTCTTGAGTGTTGCAAAGGTCAAACAATCAGTGAGGTTTCAGGGCAGAATTGTACTCTTCAGTAGACCGAGGCTGTTGAAAAGCTAAGAAAATAATGGTGGTGATGCCTTCAGTTTAGCTACGAATGAGTTTGTCACGATGTGTCAACAGAGAAGGGAAAAAAGAAGTACTTTTCAGTGTAGTTTTCAACCAAACTGTGAGCTTTTAGGGTATATTATGAATTTTTTGGACACAAATCAGAAGAACGGGGCACAGAAAAAAACGGACCACAAAATGATAGTGAGGTGCTTAATTGACATGTCAAGCATTTTGTACAGTAGAGCAAAAAAACCCATTTCTGTGTAAAATTTTCCAACGGTCTTTGTGCTTTTGGGCTTGTTCTGACTCATGAACCCGTACAATACAGAACGAGTGTTGAAAAATGAAGACAATAATGGTCGTGAGTTGTTTCATTTACCTGTTGATAATTTTTGTCACAGGATCAAGAGTAGAAACAAAAGCAAGTTACTTCTCAGTCCAATTTCCACCCAATCTTTCATTGATTGTTTGGATGCTGATTTAACCCCAGTATGCAGAAATAAACACTTAATCGAGGATGAGATTTTTCCGCTTTTTTCCAGTCAAAATGGACCTTTTTTATCTTGTTCCAAATCCGTTGAGAAAATTTTAGGGGGGGTGGGGTAGGGTCTGGTGTTATTTCTGGGACTCGTAATGTTTACAAATAAAGTTTGCAAGCATCCATTTTGAATATCGTTTTTTCTCGTGAAGCGTTAGTTTGTCGTTACTTATATGGGCTAAAACCAATGTCTTACTTTTTGTGATTGGTCGCTATATCGGCAAATGCAGAATCACAACCAATCCATGTTCGCCTTCCTACACCCCTTTCCCGCGAATTCTGAATGGTTTCGTACGATGGATGTTGTGTATTGAAATTACTCGCGTATGTGGTTTGTATTAAACAAAATGCCGAATGTTATCGAAACTCGTGACGAAGCTAAAGTGTGTCAGATAGATGTGTGTGCGTAATCTGAAAAACAAGTTTCAATGTTACTGGTTGGATAGAAAGCTGCCGGTGTCCCCAGAAGGAACCAGTAAAGAGGAACCATTGTCTCTGCTCGTGTTGGATTTCGTGATAAAGCTCGATGTCGCTGGTAAAGCTCTGTGTCCAGTGTGTGACCATGTCATTCTATACGGATCGAGAGGATGGAAAGCTTGACAGAGACACGCAAATTGGACAGGGTGCAGAAGAAAGCAAGGCTGGAGCATGTGAAAAAACAAGAGGAGTTGGCTAAAAAGAGAGTGACAAAGACGGAGAGGACCAGCAAGCTTTTAGCTCTTGCTAAAAAGCTTAAAATGAAGAGAAAATAAACATTCTACATCATGAAACTGTACATAGTTGTATATACTGTAAATAGACATCCACTTTATAGGATAAAATGCATTCATAATCCATACATAGTAAACAGTTTGGGACTTCACTATCACTGTATGAGGTAAGAATCAACAGCTTTTTATCACATTTACACAACATTTTATGAATACAAGTAACGAACAAATCTTAAATATGGCAGGGAATGTGTTTCCTTTTTTAGTTTTGATTTTGAGCAGCAAATTTGGAGTTACATGTTGGTGCTCACCAGGAATGCATAAGCAAAATTGCACAGAGGCCTATGTCGAATTTTCACTTGAAAGAATAGTGAACAATTTTGGGATTATTTTGGAAGCAAATAGGGAATGGTATTTCAACAAAAATTGTAAAT